TTCAAGTCCCGACCCATCCTCACTGATTCCCCTCCCTACCCCAATGCTAACCACTAGCGAATAAGGAGGGAGGCGCCCTATCTCCATACGTCAGTCCTCCACGTAATTGTCTCTCCCTCCTCATTGCTTGCGGCTAGCACGCCTCTTCTACTCCTTGACCTCGCCTTGCTTCTCCTCCTTCACGTTGCTATCCTCGGTGCCTCATCTCCACCACCATCGGAGTGCCTCCACCAGCGAACCTCCATACCATGCCAAGAGGACAATGAGAGACTTCGGCGCTGGCGACCTCCTCCCCATGACTCTTATGCAAGAGCGGGAACTTGAAGATGTGCCGCATCGGACAATGATGGAAGTGACTTCTCATGTGTTAATGCCTTCCCCTTCCTCCTTGTGCCTTCGGCTACCATCAACAGGTCGGATGCCCCGGCGTTGTCCATCTGTGTGCGGTTATGAGGTTGGGTGTGGACATGTGGTCATGGTTGCTAAGGCGCTACGACTTCCACAATAGTGGCTAGTGGTCGGTAACGTCTGACTGCTCCGACGAGGAACAATTCTACTCCGACAAGGAAAATGATACTGATGGGTCCATTTTGGTGAATAATTCCACACTTTGTCCCCTTTTGAATTTGTATGATGCATGAATCTGTTCATATTTATGAATTTTGAACTTGTTTAAAATACAACATATCCTCTGACTTTTCTAATACAACATGAATTTGTTCCTAGTTTTTAGAGAACTTTGGATTTTGTGAAGAGTTCCACACAACTATGACTATTATTTAATGTGTTGGGAATAGAAATTCCAAAATATAGTCAAACTGATTACAATCCTATACCTACCTTGTAGGTTTGCATGACCCCACATGTTAGAATCGAGAAAATGAATATTGAAAGATGATTGAATGAATGACCACTAACACTAGTTTTTTTTTAAGAAAAGATGCAACAGAGCGCGCAAAAAGGCTCTAGCTTTGTTCTATTTTGAATTAAGAAAGCCATCAACCGGCCAGGATACAGTTGCAACAACCAACATAAAACAAGAACAACAGAAAAGACGGAGAGATACAAAATGGCGCCGGAAAGCAGCTTACTAAGCCTCAAACACTTCACGCTGGAATGATATACACATGAACATATAGCTGAAGACAGGATGAATCTACTGGGGGAGGCTTTAACAGGCTCGAGCCCCCTTCCCCTCCAAGGATTCAATTTATTTCTTTACTACTAGTATTAGGCCCAGCCCACAAGCCCACATAGTCATGATCCAGCCTGTACTCATCCAGAATCGTTCGATCGTTAATTTTGAGCCTGTCCTCCGTTGTTTCCTAGATTCCCATTGGCTGAAGACATCGAGGTCCTCTACCGTGACTGAACATAAAACAAGGAAGCATGCCAAATCCGGAGAGGGAGTGAAGATGCACCGTCAAGGTATGTCATCACCAAACACTAAGGGCCTCGGCACGACACATCAATCCAGAAAGAGGCCACAACCTCATCGTCTGGATCGCAAGGCGCCGCACCATCGAAAGAATGGAAAGTTCTCCAAGAACAAGGATGGATGCCACCGGGTGGTCACTTAGAGCGGATCAGCGCACACCAAATGTGTCGAAGCTCTCCAAGAACATGATGAATGCCACACAACCCACGACTAGAACATGCTGGAGGAAAAGCACAAGTTTGGATGCAGAAGGGCACGTCATCTGCTGTTGCCGCTGCCCACCACCATGGAACTCTCAAGGTGGCGCCTTCAAGAAGGACACAGTGCCGAGAGCACCATCGCCGCCCATCGTAGTTAGGATTTTCACCCGAGAGGGAGGGAGGTGGGAAGAGGTAGGGCAGACCTGGCCGATGTCTTCGTGAAGAAAACCAGCGCCCTCGGGCGTTGTCGCCGTCATGGCCGACCGGAGCCGACCAGGGATTTCTCTCGATCCAAATCCCTACCAGCTCCGCACGTAGCCTGAGGACCAACCAACTAGCCAGCGAGGCCAAGAACCAGGGGAAGGGAAGCACACCAAGCAGGGAGGACGAGCAACGACCAGATATGGCTCCAAGGCAGCTAGGCCATGACGCTAATCCACCAGTGGTCCGTTGGCCGCCCGACCAGAACGCTAAGCACCATGCCACCCCCGCCGCTCACTGTAGAACAGGGGCACGTCGGAGGCCCCCACCCCAGATCCAGGGCTCTCCGCCATCGTGCAGGAGCAGCACAGGCCCCGCCGCCACATTCCCCGGCTGCGCCGCAGGCTTGCCCAGGGCCAGCCTCCTATGGTGGCGAGGATGGAGGGGGTGATCGCTCCCGATTCACCCGGGTGGGGCGGCACGAGGGGGGGGGGAATCTCGCCATTAACTCTAGTTTTGTAAGTAGCGAACCAACCTATGGTTGAATGTGTACTGGTCAACCAGGGATCAAACACACTTGTGTATCTTATATAAAGACGGAATAGCTTGTAAGTAAGAGGTGGTAACTTTGTCAATCTCAACATTCGACGTCTCAATCTCTCGAAAGTGTTCATAGAGGCAGTGGCAGAGTATACGTGTGTGCATTCATTTGTGTGAGTATATGTGCATCTATGTGACCGTCTACGTTGTTTTTAAAAAAAAGACCAATCCATTTTCATAAGTATGAAAATTCCATGTCATGTCAAAGGTGCCCAAATATGAGGGAAACCAAAATTTGAACCATTGCCGCAGCACAAAAAGCAATCAGCACACGGCGCAAATGCGCAAATACACGGTTAGTCGACACACAGCACAGCACGACCGATGTGATGCTTCACCAATCAGCAAATGAAGGCAGCATCAGCGTGCTCATCACTGCAGTAGAGGCCAGGCTGCTGGACGTAGCCCTGCTTGGCCAGCAGCCCGCGCGCTCTCTGCACGAGCTCCCTGTTGGTCACCTTCTTCCCGCGCTTCTCCTCCGCGAGGACGGCCTGGATGGCATTGCTGAGCGCGCCGTAGGACACGCCGCTGGCCGTGGTCAGGTCCGCCGAGGACTCGTCCGTCTGGCACCCGCTGATCAGGACGCCGTTGCGTGGCGGCGGCACCTTCGCCGTGGCCCCCGCGTACACCTCCTCGACGCTCCACACCTCCTGCTCCATGGCTGGCCCGAGCGCGCCGGCCTGACCCCCGCCCTCCGGCTTGGCCTTCGGGATCAGCTCCGTGACCGTGGCGGCCTGATCAGCGCCATGCCGGAGCTTGCCGTTGCCGCCCACCACGGCCTTGACGAACTTCTTGATCTTGGGCGTGGCGTCGTCGCCGAAGTGGTGGAACAGCGTCGTCCGGATGGAGCCCACGCCGACGTCGTCCTTGCCGGTCTGCTCCTTGAGCATCCGGATGTACGTCGACAGGGGCAGCGACCGGCTCGTCGTGGCGGTGCCGGCCGGCGAGCCCGCCTGTTTGGCGCGGCGGCCGAGGCGGATGCCAACGTACTCGAGCGCGCCCCGGACGGCCCCGAGGAGCGAGGCGCACAGGTTGGCGCCGGCGGACGGAGGCCGCTGCTGCTGGGCCTTGCTCTGCTTGGTGCTGTTCCCGATCTGCTCCTTGGTCTTGTCGATGAGGCCGCCGCTGTGGCACGAATCGGATACCATGGTGAAGAGGCAGCCATCGGGCACTTTCCGCACCAGCTCCGTGAAATCTTGGTCTGCGGCAAAGGAGCTCCTTCAGCCGTCAGTCAAGCAACGGAGCTTGCCGCTCTGACAATCTCTCGAACATCCCAGCCAACAATCAATGGATGAACCAATCCGAATGTCCAATCCTACATGTACGTACCTTTGATGAGGTTGGTGTCGCAGGGCACGATGCACTCGTCGTAGCCGGTGTCGTCGTCCTCGCCGGTCTCGGCGGGCAGCTGCAGGCCGTGGCCGCTGTAGTGGAAGAAGAGGGAGTCCCCGGGCCGCGCGCCGCCGACGAGCCGCTCCAGCTCGAGCCGGATGTTGGCGCCCGTGGGCGGCGGCGTGGCCGGGTCGGCGTCGGCGAGGACGCGGATGTCGGCGCCATCGAAGCCGAAGCGGTCGACGAGGCAGCGGCGCATGCGGGCCACGTCGTTGAGGCAGCCCTTGAGCTCCCCCTCCGTGCCCGGGTAGTTGATGCCCACCAGCACCGCGCGCTTCCGCCCCATCGTTGAGCCGGCGCGCTCCGGTGGGCGCTGCCGGACGCGGCTAGGCTGGTGGGGTGGCGAGCTGTGTGTTGGCAGAGCGGTCCGATCTGGCAGGCACTAGTACGGGGCTGGTGGGTTGGTGGAGCTCGAGATGATCATCGCTGCCACTGCTAGCTTTTCCGTTTGCATTGCCTTCACCATGTATGATCTCATTATACTACTCCACACTGCTACTCCATGATATTTGCGGCACTACTTGTAAGATACTCCATGAGTACATACATATCAGTTGCCACTAACCATAAAAGGTAGCAGAGTGGAAGTATGATACATACAGATAATGTAATGGCAGGTTTGTATATGGTATAAAGATAGTGGGGATGGCTTTACCAGTTCTCCCATAATTTTATCAATTTTTTCTGCTTTTGGGAAACATGGAGTAATATATTATAGGTATATTATTACCTGAGAGCATGTGATTGTTATTCTGAGATGAAACATCAAACAGTCCAATCTTAGCAACACATGGCGTCCGGGTCTCCAAAACCACAGTCCACAGACAATAGCAGACAGTTTTGACACACGAGGAGAAAACGTTCTCTCTCATCGACGGACAAAGACAACGGATGATGTTTCACGCTCTCAGCATATGAAAGCCACCTCGGTGTGCCTGTCGCTGCAGTAGAGCCCAGGCTGCTGCTTGTACCCCTGCTTGGACAGCAGCCCGCGCGCCCTCAGCACCAGCTCCTTGTTGCTCACCTTGCCGTCCTTCTCCGCGAGGATGGCCTGGATGGCGTTGCTGAGCGCGCCGTAGGACAGGCCCTTGGCGGTCGTCGCGTCCGCCGAGGTCTGGTCGGTCTGGCACCCGCTGATGAGGACGCCGTTGTGGGGCGCCCTCGCCGCCGTCCCGGCGTACACCTCCTCCACGCCGTGCACCTCCTGCTCCATGGCCGGCTTCAGCTCCTCCTGCTTGCCCTGCAGCTTGGCCCTCAGCAGCTCCTGTGCCAGCGCGCCCACCAGGCCCACCACGCCGCCGTGCTGCCCCTGCTGCAGCTTCTCCAGCATCACCTTCATGAACTTCTTGATCTTGGGGCTCGCGTCCTCGCCGAAGACGTTGAACAGCGTCATCCGGATCGACCCCACCTCGATGTCCTCCTTCCCCGTCTTCTCCTTGAGCATCTCGATGAATGTCGAGAGGGGCAGCGACCGGTTCTTCACGTGCCCGTCTGTGCCTGAGTCCAGGCTCGGCGCCTCGGCCTCAGCGTCGTCGTCGTCGTAGCTGCTCTGCTGGCCGCCGCGGCGAGGGAGGTGGACTCCTTGGGACTCGAACGCGTCCCGGACGGTCTGTTTGAGGAACGACCGGAAGCCGCCCGAGCCGGAATCAGACCGCTCTTCCCGTTTGCCTTGCTGCGCCTTGTTCTGCTTTGTGCTGTGGCCAATCTGCTCCTTGGCCTTGTCAAGCAGGCCACCGCTGTGGCAAGAGTCAGAGACTATGGTGAACAGGCAGCCATCTGGGACTTTCTGCACGAGCTCTGTGAAATCTTGGTCTGCAGTGCAAAGAAGAAAATTAGAATGCCATTGACAGGAAGGGATGCAAGATGTTACTGGTTATTGACCGCTCTACTTCTATGTATTGGCTGCCTTCTCGATATACTCCCTCCGTTCCAAAATATATGACCCAACTTTGTACTAACTTTAGTACAGAGTTGAGTCATCCGTTCCAAAATATATGACCCAATTTTGTACTAACTTTAGTACAGAGTTGAGTCATCTATTTTGGAACGGAGGGAGTAGTAGGTAATATCTGAAAGCTGAGGATTACCGAAGCACTAGAATATTATCTGCAGATAGCCATCACCCATCAGCTTAACTGCCTATGAGTTGAAGCAGGCTCAGAACATTCTATTGCAGGAAAAGAAAAAACATGAATCAGGCAAGCCAACAAGTGGCAGATTCAAACATCACCTGGTTGCTGACATTCAGATCTTCTGTGAACTTCTTTTTGGTTTCAAAAATGGACCCTGATCACTTTTGACACAGTTTGATTGATGCTTTTCCACTACAGGTTTAAATTAACTTGGTACCCTCTGCATGTCTAGGACTAAACTGGTTTAAGGAATGCACTTTCTGACCTGCTTCATGACAAAATTTGGTAATGCAACTTAGGTTAGGAGTGTGGAGCCTAGGTCCTGCTGGTACAGCAACATGTTTCTGCTGGCTTGGCGTTTGCATGTTTGGATTGGTACAAAACAGATGCAACAAACTCTTGTTACTGCCAAAACAAACCAAATTTCTGTGACTTGCAAATTTTGGTAGCATTCAGAATGGGGCCTTGGTAGCAAAATAAATGAGGCCAAATTGTATTTACATTACGAATTTTGGCAGAAAAAAATCTTACGTAAATAGCATGGTTTAAGACAGTTGATTGTATATCGAAATATTTGTGCTATGTGGTGAAAAGTCTGCAATCAGTGTTACCACAATGTACTATCTGAAATCATAGTCACCTAAAAACTAATCCAATCAGAAATGCAGAAATTACCACAGCGCTAAATCCGATAATTAAGTCGTAAACGTGACAATGAATCAAATAACGCCCCTCTCAGATCTCACCAACCACACTCGATTCACTAACCGGTAGTTCGATTCAGAACAAGTACAGGAGCAACATGGCACGAGACAAAACGAAAACGGAAATGGCGTCTCCGGATCTGCGCTGCGCACCTGTGATGAGGTTCATGTCGGAGGGGACGATGCACTCGTCGAAGCCGGTGTCGTCGTCCTGGCCGGTCTCGGCCGGCAGGCGCGTGCCGTGGCCGCTGTAGTGGAAGAAGAGGGAGTCCCCGGGGCGCGCGTCGGCGACGAGGCGCGCGAGCTCGCGGCGGATGTTGGCGCCCGTGGGCTGCTGCTGCGGCGCGGCCCGGTCGGCGTCGGAGAGGACGCGGATGCCGGCGTCTTCGAAGCCGAAGCGGTCGACGAGGCAGCGGCGCATGCGGGCCACGTCGTTGTGGCAGCCCTTGAGCTCCGCCTTGGTGCCCGCGTAGTTGATGCCCACCAGCACCGCGCGCTTCCGCCCCATCCTTGGGTTCGGCTCGGCGGTCGTCGGCGACGGCGTTGGCGGTGGTGCGGCGAGGCGAGGCGGCGGGCCTCGGGGAGTCCGATGGATGGAAATGGCGTGGATTTGGTGGGGTTTGCTGCTGGGGCTTTTTGTTTTGTTTTGGGTTGGCGCCGGCTGTCTGCTGGCGTTTCCGATCTGGCAGCTGCTGGGTGGTTGGTGGCCGTGTGCGACCCGGTCGTCGCTTTGTGCTGGGTTGGTCAGCGACGCGGCGGCCGATAATAACACTGTGTTCGTATGCGCACCCAAACCCACGGGCCATGGCCCATTCAGTCATCTCCCTCCCCCCGGGTCCAAATATTCCATAGTCTCTACTATTAAATACTATTAAAGGGGATCAAACGTCGTGATGGTTCGACCTCCTTCGATCCCCACCTCCCTTCGTCATCCCCCTCCATCGCACGAAGACAAAAACCAACGCATGCTCCCACCACCCATCGTCAAAAAAACTGTCGCCACACGCGCACACACACGTCGCACGCCCCCATCTCTCCCCAAGCCCCCTCGCTCCCGATCCTGTCTCTGTCGGAGAAAAGCATCGCCGCCTGTGCTCGCCATTAATCCCATGCGCTGCATCATGACCCGATGTCCCGTGCCGTCTGGATCTAGGGAAGGGAATGCCTTACATCCCGTCCCTTCTGCTCGTCGTCGAGGCGATAGAGATAGCAGAGAGAGAGAGAGAGAGAGAGAGAGGAAGGAGCGCAGCGGCGGACCTGCCCTTAGGGCATCTCCAGCCGTTGGCCCCCCCAGGACGCATAAAAATTGCCTCCTGGGGCAAGCCGGCAATACAATCGGCGCTGGGGGCGGTTTTGCGCCCAGTCGTCGCCCCCAGCTCGCCCCCAGGCGCCGAAATTGGCCCACTTTGCAGCCCAATTTCGGCGAATAAAGGGCACATATGGGCGAGAATAGGCCCATATTCGGCGTGGTTTCGCCGTGTCTCGGCGTTCAATTATCAACACAATTATTTCTTATCACATATTTCATCACAGAAAAATCAAATACTTCAACAAAATAGTACAACAACAAATAGTTCGATACAAATTATATAGTTCAACAAATAAAAACTCGTATTTCATCACACGACGTCCCCCTTGAGCTTCCATAGGTGCTCAATCAGATCTTTCTGCAGTTGATGATGCACCTGTGGGTCTCGGATCTCCTGACGCATACTGAGATAGGCAGTCCAAGTTGCCGGTAGCTGGTGATCAACTTCGGCTAGAGGACCCTGCATGTAGTATGGTTCAGTGTCAAACACTGGGTCTTCTTGCTCGCTCTCGATGATCATGTTGTGCAAGATGACACAACAAGTCATAATCTCCCACATTTGATCTTTGGAACAGGTCTGAGCGGGGTACCGAACAACAGCGAATCGAGATTGGAGCACACCAAATGCCCGCTCGACATCCTTCCTGCAAGCCTCCTGAACTTTCGCAAACCAGGCGTTCTTGCCTCCTGCCGCGGGGTTTGAGATCGTCTTCACAAATGTCGACCATCTCGGATAGATGCCATCTGCTAGGTAGTACCCCTTGTTGTATTGGTGCCCATTGATCTCGAAGTTCACCGGAGGAGAATGGCCCTCAACGAGCTTGGCAAAAACAGGAGAGCACTGCAGCATGTTGATGTCATTGTGAGTTCCTGGCATACCAAAGAAGGAGTGCCAAATACAAAGGTCATGTGTGTCTACCGCCTCAAGCACCACACTGCAACCGCCTTTGGCGCCTTTGTACATCCCCTGCCAACCAAATGGGCAATTTTCCATTTCCAATGCATACGGTCGATGCTTCCAAGCAACCCAGGAAATCCTCTTGCTGCATTCTGGGCTATGATCCAAGCAGTGTCTTCCGCATTGGGTGTTCTCAAGTATTGTGGCCCAAACACTGCCACCACTGCCCGACAGAACTTGTAGAAACACTCTATGCTGATGGACTCGGTCATGCGCCCATAGTCGTCGAGTGAATCACTGGGAGCTCCATATGCAAGCATCCTCATCGCTGTCGTGCACTTCTGGATGGAGGTGAATCCAAGAGCGCCAGTGCAATCCATCTTGCACTTGAAGTAGTTGTTGAACTCCTGGATGAAATTCACAATCCCGAGGAAGAGCTTTCGGCTCATCCGATAACGGCGCCGAAATGTTCTCTCGCCATGAAGTGGAGCATCGGTGAAGTAGTCGGAGTAGAGCATGAAGTAGCCTTGGAGACGATGCCGGTTCTTTGCTTTCATCCGCCCCGGCGCCGAGCCACCTCGCCGCGGCTTTTCATTGCTCGCCAACAGCTGGCCGAGGGCGGCGAGCACCATAAGATGCTCTTCTTCCTGGACGTCGGCCGCGGCTTTCTCCTCCAGCAGCGCGGCGAGCTCTTCCTCCTCATCCGAGTCCATCGCCGAGACAGGCAAAACGCCGAACACCTTGCGCTCGGTGGGCGTGTACCCGCCGTTAAACCGCGCCTCCGCGGCCGGAAACGCCCAGCTGCTGTGGGAGGGGCTGCCGCGGTGAAGTGCTGCTATTTTCCGGCTGGGAATGGCTATCTAGCGGAGTAGGGCGGCGGCCGTCGCCGGGATATAGCTAGTGATGACCGAGGGCGCGGGGGATGCGAGGCGAGTCGGGGGAAAAAAACCTTGACTTTTCCGCTGTCGGTGTGGGCCAGGCGTGCTTTTCCCTAGCGCCGGAGCCCCCAACTGCTCCCCAGCGCGCCGGGTTCGGCCTGTGACCGCCGGGCAGAAAAAAGTCCGAACCGGCAATTTTCGGCGTCCTGGGGGCGCGACTGGGCCGTTTTTTCGGCGCCGGCGCCGAAAAAATGGCTTGGAAGGCCCTGTTGGGGGCGCGGCTGGAGATGCCCTTAGCGCCATAGAGGAAGAGTGGTGGTGGGGCGGCACCACATTACTGCTGCTGCTAGGACAACGGGGCTCCTTGTGTAAAGGCATAAAGGAGGTGGCAGTGTGTCCTTCTGCAGGTCCTCCTCCACGTCGGTACACTTGACATCCACCTCTTCTTCTCCTGCGGCCAGGCATGTGCATATCATCCTATGCCATTGACCCCTCATCGGCGGAGGTGTGCGAGGATTTCGTCTCCGAGCAGCACGGCGGACGTCTCTTTCCTGTCGCTGCTCAAAATCGAGCTCCAGACAAGAGAACCCTTTTGCCATCGAGGCCTTCTACTACTGGTCCACAGCCTCGACTTCTCCCTCTTCGTCTGGATTGGGAGCGCAACCACCCCGTAAGCTCCTCCTCTTCTCTCTCTCTTAAATTTTTTCGGGTTCTTGGTCTGGATATGAATAGAGAGCTCGAGTTCGATCCCGATATCTTGGTTATGTCTTGTACTATTTTTGTTGATACAGATTATTGCTGCAAAGTTTTCTTAGACAGGAATTAAGTTGTTTTTCAGAAGGGCTTTGTGGTTCTTTATCAATGGCGTTTAGCTACTACAACGTCTGATACACATTCTGGTGGTATACGCAACCATGCTTTACAAAGCTGATTACCACATTCCTCTTTTGCTAGGATTTTTTTTTGGAGCAAAAGAGAGGCTCGCCCTCTCCGATTTCATATAAAGAAACCAAGGTCTAGCAGTAACAAGGTCCAGGCTCTTTCGCTAGGATATGTGCCGCTCTGTTTGATATACATCGTGACTTTGTGCTCCTTCATGGTACTCAACATCTCCTTGATCACTCCAGTCAACAACCCATGGACTGATTTGTTCAAATCACCATCATTCTAGCAAGTTGTTAGTTGTTACCCACGCTAAATGTAAGCTCTCTGACTGCAGATTGTATGCGGCACTCTGGTTACTCATGAATTCTTTCTTGTATTCCAAAAAGAATCCATATCAATGATTTTGCAATATAAGACATCCATATGAAATTTTCCTGCATTTTTCATTGAAGGAATAGTAGCTCTGCTGCCTATATCAATAGAAAAAAGTACTAATTTTTTTATGTACAGGAAAAACTAAATTTCCTGCAATTGCAACCACAAAATATATAGTTTGCTGGTTTCTTTCAAATAATATGCAATGATATTTCCTTTGCGTTCTAATTTATTGATTTTAGAGCTCTCACTTGATAAATATCACAAGGTAGTTTCAGTTGTGATATTGAGTGTCCTTTTTGTGATTTTCATATTA